TAACTGTTGGAGAGGGGCCATCGTCCCCAGGACTCATCTCTGCCCTTGGCTCAACAGCAACCCATCGGTGTGACTCTGCTTTGTCCCCTCTGAAACTCACATGGAAATGTAACCCCATTACGGGCCATGAGGAGGAAAGACATTTAAGAGGTGGATTAAAGGAGCTGGAGAGAATGCTCAGTCAATGAAGTACTGTGCCTTGCAAGAGTGAGGACCCAAGTTCAATACCCAGCACCCATGTAAAAAGCCAGCGTGGTGGTTGTCTTAGTTAGGGTTTACTATTGCTGTGAAGAGACACTACGATCACGGCGACTCTTTTTTTTGGCTTTTTTTGAGATACAGTTTCTCTGTGTAGCTTTGCGCCTTTCCTGGAACTCACTCTGTAGCCCAGGCTGGCCTCAAACTCACAGAGATCCGCCTGGCTCTGCCTCCCGAGTGCTGAGATTAAAGGCGTGCCACCGCCACTCCCCCCCCCCCCACCCCACCCCACCCCCGGCTCCCACGGCGACTCTTATAAAGAAAACATTTCATCGAGGGGGCTTGCTTACTGTTTCAGAGGTTCAGTCAATGATCGTCATGGCAGGGAGCGTGGCGCCGTGCAGGCAGAGGTGGTGCTGGAGCTGAGAGTGCTATGTTGTACAGGCAACCGGAAATCAACTGACTGTCACACCAAGTGGAGCTTGAGAAAAAGATCTCAAAGCCCGCCCCCACAGTGACGCACTTCCAACAGAAGGTGTGGCCCAGATTAAAGGTGTGCCCTCCAGCCTCCTCCAACAAGACCACACTTCCTCCAACATTGCCACGCCTCCTAATAGTGCTGCTCCCTGTGAGTTCACAGGGGGCCAAATGCATTCAAACTATCACAGTGGTGCTCACTTGTGATCCCTGGAGCTCCCTGGGCCATCTAACATTGCCAAATCAGTAAGTCCCAGGCCAATGAGACAGGATGTGGGGCCTGATGAGGTGGCTCAGTAATGTTAGATCTCAGTCCTCTGTATGTCTAGAAATGAGCTCAAGCTGGACTATAGGAGAATTTCTGGCAGTTAGATAAAAGCCAGCATTCCCCAGGAACCTGTGAACTGGGTTCTTGTTACCCCAAAAGGAGACATTTTTCCTTGCTTCTGGCAGAAAGGACATGTGGCTCTCCATTGATGTATACCTGTGGCTGCATGTCAAAGCCCATACTGGTCTCCAGGCTCCCTCCTCCCTCCCTCCTTAGTCCCCACTCACCCGTACCCATTGTATATTTCAAAGCCCCTCTTGGCCTTTCTCCCCTCCCCTAAACTCTGGGGCCCACTCCAGCTCATGGGCTTCCCTACCCCCAGCTACTCATCCTCCTTATAATCTTCATGATCCCCCCCCCCCCCCCCCCCATCGCTCTCTCACTGCTCTCAAAGACAGCCTTGGCCAGATCCAGTCTTCTTCTTTCTCTCTCTGCTCTGGACATTTCCAGACGCCTCTGGGTATTTTCTCTCTTATTCACAATGGAAGTCTCCCCCTAATAGAGCGGGCGTCCCAGCAGTTCCCTTGCTGTGTCCTCTTGGACACTAGTGCATACAAGTGGGTAAGGGCATGTGCCACCAAACTTGACAACCTGAGGTCTAGTCCTAGGACCCAGCAGTAGAAGGAGTCTACTCCTGCAAATTCACTTTGTCTGAACCAGCCTCTCCCCTACAAAGGGGCCACGATACTCCTTGTGCCTTTCCTGGATCTCGCTCTGTAGACCAGGCTGGCCTTGAACTCACAGAGATCCTCCTGGCTCTTCCTCCCTAGTGCTGGGATTAAAGGCGTGCACCACCACCGCCCGGCTTCTCTCCCACCTTTAGACAGGGTTTCACTGAGTAGGCCTGGCTGGCCTGGATTAAAGGCATATGCCACGAAGTCCAGTCTTTGAGATTCTTAAATTAACGTTTTCATTCTACTCCTCTGTCTAGAATTTAAAAATCTAACGAACAACAACAGAACCCTCCATTTTGTCTGTTCTTAAGCAGAAATAGATTCACTCAAATCAATAGGACACGTTTTCTAAAACTGTGCTCTGAGATAATGGCCTGAAGGCACACATGCATTTCATCTCAAACCAGCTTAATGGGGCAGGAATAGGGTGGGGATGTGGTGAGTCAGCAGAGTGCTTGCCTAGCATGCAAGAAGGCCTGGGTTTGACCCCCAGGCAGTAATCTGGAAGTGGTGGTGCATGCCTGTAATCCCAGAGGCAAGAGGATCAGAACTGTGAGGTAATCGTCGCCTACACAGTGAGTTTGAGGCCAGCCTGGGTTACATAAGACCCTGTGTAAGAGAAAACAAACACAGAGGCAGCTCAAAGGAAGGGGAGGCTGCTGCCAGAGACTCTCAGAAGAGGGGGAAGTGGAGCCTGGGGTGGGGACACAGTAGGAAGATGGGCAGGGCACCAGCAAGCTTTGGAGTGGAGCCAGCGAGTCCTTCCACCACGGCCTGCCCAGTCCACCGTTCCCTGCCAGGATCCCCGGCTCACAAGGGCTATGCCTGTGCCTCCCTGGCCCCGAAGGACTGCCTCTGTTCTGTGAGGTAGTCTTCTCAATGTGGGAACTCAGTGCAGTTTCCTTTGGGGACCCCAGGACTTAGAGCCGTTCCTGGCACGTCAGCTAAGTCACAGTGGCATCTGCGGAGGCTCTGGAACCCACTGCAGAGCTCCTCTCTCGGAACACCGGGGCCTGAAAGTCCACAGGTCTCACTCCGAAGGCCACGGTGGTAGGTGTTCAGCGAAGAGCTGGGGAAAGGGGCTGGGGTGTGCTCAGTAAAGTACTCGCCTAGGGTCCTAGGTACCTCTCTGTTACTGTGATAAACACCATAGCAACTCGAAGGGGGAAGGGTTTCTATCAGCTTTGTAGCTCCACATCACATTCCATCACTGACAGGAGACAGAGTAGGAGCATAAGGCAGAAACCTGGAGGCAGGAACTGAAGCAGAGGCCGTGGAGGAACGCTGCTTCCTGGCTGGCTCCTCATGGCTTGCTCAGCCTGCTTTCTTATAGCACCAGGGCCACCAGCCCATGGGTGACACTACCTCCAGGGAGGGGTGGGCCTTTCCATGTCAATCAAGAAAATGCCCCCACAGAAATTGCCCACATGATGGGGAATGTCTTTCTGTATGCTGTGAAAATATGTTGCTCTGATTGGTTGATAAATAAAGCCATTTGGCCTATGGCAAGGCAGCTTAGAAGCGGGCAGAAAATCCAAACAAATGGAGAGGAAGGAGAGAGACAGAGCAGAGGAGACACTGCCAGCCGCCACCATGAGAAGCAAGATGTAAAGGTACGGGTAAGCCATGAGCCATGTGGCAGAGTATAGGTTTATAGAAATGGGTTAATTTAAGATATAAGAACTAGGGCAGTGGTGGCGCATGCCTTTAATACCGGCACTCAGGAGGCAGAGGCAGGCGGATCTCTATGAGTTCGAGGCCATCCTGGGCTACATAGTGAGTTCCAGGACAAGCACCAAAACTACGCAGAGAAACCCTGTCTCGAAAAACCAATATATATATTAGGTAACAAGAAGCCTGTCATGGCCATAGTTTAAAAATAATATTAGCCTGTGTGTGTTTATTTGGGTCCAAGTAGCTGCAGGACCAGTGGATGAGAGAGATCTGCCCTGACCGTGGGCCAGGTGGGACACAGGAAAACTTCAGCTACACCCACAGGCCAACCTGAGGGTGGCACTTTCTCAACTGGGACTTCCTCCTCCAAAATGACCCTAGCTTGTGTCAAGTTGACTTAAAACTAGCCAGCACATCTAGCATGCATGATGCCCTATATTTGATCATAAATAGCTGGACAGCACACCTAACATGCATGATGGCCTGTGTTGGTCACTAGTACCACATAAGCTGGGCAAGGTAATCCCAGCACTCTGAAGGTGGAGGCAGGAGGATCTCAGAAGTTCAAGGTCACCCTCAGCTTCTCAGCTACCAGGACATTCTCCCCCACACATGCATCTTCAAAAGACCTGACATCATTGTCATATCACTTGTATTGTGGTTTTGGACATCTACCCCTGGTCCATGTTAAAGGGACAACTAGTTTGACATGATTTGGGGAGGAAAATTCATCTTACTCCATGAATATGCTACCTACCTCATAAATTTTCATAAACATTTGTTTAAAAATCCACAGCAAGAACCTACTAGGCTGTTCCCTGCCTTGGAACAGCCTACTCAAGTCTCTCTTTGGAGTGTTTGATTTGATTAGCTGTAATAAACTTCTGTTTAAACTGTCTCTTGACTGGATTCTTTCCTTCAGGAAGATAGGAACCAACACTATTGACCTACAGAACCTACAGTCAGCCCGGAGACAAGCCTCTAGCTACGTGTAAGGGAATTTTTAGATTAGATGAAGTGAAGTGAGGAGACCCACTTTAAATGTGAAGGGCACCATCCCATGGGCTTGGAATAAATTAAAAGAAAATGGGGTGCACAGCAGCATCCATCTCTTTCTGACCAGATGCTCTATGCTCCTGGGGTCGTGCGTTCCCCACCTGGACAGTGTGTACCCCCAAACTGTGAGCCAAAATAAACTTCTTTTCCTTTGCCAGAGCAATGAACAAGGTCACTAACACACCACTCTTAGGTGTGAGGAGAGGACGGGGGATGTGGTGGCATTTCAGCCAAAGAAGCAAACTGGATACTCTCCACTTCCACCCCAGGTAGGTCACCAGGCCCACAGAAGGCTGGGGAGAAGTGTGGTATTAGGATGTCCCAAAGACTGGAGGGCCAGGACATTAACAGACACCCTGGCTGGGAGGATGTCCCCAAAGGACTGAGCATTTCGGCTGAAGAACCCAGATGGCCACCTCCTATCTGTTCAGTTTCATTTCTTCACCAGAGAAAGTCAGAACAGCTACTCATCGGGACAGCTCACTTCAACCCACGACCATTAGACTCAGCGTGAGGGTCAGTGCTGGCTGGGAGAGGGACGGGGGGGGGGGGGGTATGGGGAGGGATGGGGGGTGCTGACATCAGCACTAAGGCCAGGGGCTCTAAGCTTTGGGGGTGAGCCAGCTCCTGCATCTTCTTCACCATCTGCCCACAGTATCTACACAAAGTAAGTCCTGTGCAGAGCGCCCCCTGTGGCTGAGCAGTGCTCAACAACACTCAAGTCCTGCCCTGCCTTCTCAGGAATCTCGTCCACTGTGTACTCTGTATTAGTTCCTTTTCCAGGTGCTGTGATCAAATGTTGTCACAAAAGCCACCCGAGGGAGAAAGGGTGTATTACAACTCATCGTTCAAGGGTACAAGCTATCATGCCATGGAAGGGATGGTGTCAGCAAGAGAGGGCGGCGGTCACATGGCATCCACAGTCAGGAGAGAGATGAACACTGGTGCTCAGTCCACTTTCTCCTTTTTCTTAGGACTGGGTCTTCCCATCTCAATGAACAGAATCTAGATAATCCCTCCAAGGCAGGCCCAGAGCCTAATACAGTCTTCTAGGTGATTTTAGATCCTATCAAGTTCATAATCCATATTAACCAACACGGATTTCAACGAGAGCCTGGCCAGACACCATGAGAGCCAGGGAGGGCCAGCTTAGCTGTGCCCAGGGAGCTCCAGGAAGGGGCCCGTGGGTCAGCCAGCTCCTGGAGGGCTGCATAATCCAGCCAGGCTGGAGGCCACGGAGAAGCAGCACCGGAGTCTGCAGCCTCAGCTTCTGGGATGAGGCGGGGAGAGGGACTGGAGCTGCAAAGCCTGGAGCCCACGTGTCCTGAAGGCTGTGGCTGCCCTCTCCTTGCCAAGGGAAGGGATTTTCAAAGTCAGAATAAAAGGTCCAGCCAGCTTTGCTCCTGGACTGGAGGGCATGGGGGTACAAAAAAGGTAGCCAAGACACACAAGGACAGCTCCAGGCCTTCCTCCTGGGACTCAAGCTTGATGACATCGCTTCCTCCTGTTCTGTCTAGTCACGAGTTCTTTTTCCAGAAAGTCTTTGGGGGAACCTCCCCTGGCCCTGAAAAGACACTCCTTCTGGACTCCTAAGGACACTGAACTTGGTCTCCACACTTTCCAGCTGTTCTGGGAGGACCAGATCATACAGCTACTCCCCAGTCCTGCCATGGGCCAGAGAAGGCACTTTCACAGGACTCAGAAGATTAATCCCAGGAATGGCTCTTGGTTTTCTCCAGGTGCAGGCTGCTTCTTTTTTTTTTTTTTTTTTTGTCTTTTCGAGACAGGGTTTCTCTGTGTTGTTTTGGCACCTTTCCTGGATCTCATTCTGTAGACCAGGCTGGCCTCGAACTCACAGAGATCCTCCTGGCTCTGCCTCCCGAGTGCTGGGATTAAAGGAGTGTGCCACCACCACCCGGCACAGGCTGCTTCTTACTCATCCATGTCTCCAACACTTAACCCAGAGCCTGGCATCCCGTAGGTGCTCAATTAATGTCTGCTTGAATAATGTAACTTCTGGATTCTGTGCCACAGGCAGGTATGTTTGTGGGTCTTAGCAGTTCTCCCAGAACCTAGCTGGGGTCTGTATCCCACTGGTAGTGAAATAACACAGATCTCTCTCTACCCTCTCCCTCCCTCCCTCTCTCCTCTCTCTCTCCTTTTCTCCCCCCCACCTGCCCTGCCTGTGGTTGCATGTGGAAGGCAGGGAACCTCAGATGTGGTTACCAAGGCTCCATGGACCTCCTTTTGAAAGTCTCTGACTGGTCTGGAATTTACCAAGTTTCTACCCTATAGTCACCTAGTGCCACAGCTGCTATTTTAGAAACTGACTGCCACCCAGGCTCTGCACAGTGAGTTCCGTTTAAATACTACAAATAAATATAAAGGCTATGCTCCTAATGTTAGAATTCCTAGCCACTCCCCCAGCTACATGACTGCGTGCACGGGCAAGATGCTCAGTCATCTTGCTCAGAGGCTCAGTAGGCCTTATGTCCTACATAATCCGTGCACTGCGTGATCACATAATTTGCTCACAGCATGATCACGTAATCTTTGCGTATTTGTGGCATAGCTACATAAGCCCATGTGTGTTGGGGGGAGGGAATCCTATAAAAAGCTGGTTCCACGTATTCCTCCCCCCTCTTCCTGCATGGTCATTCCATGGGCCTATGCACACCTTTCCTATTCCCTTCCCTTAATAAGCTCTTATAGTGGGTTTCTTTGTATCTCTTGGCTTTTCTCTCATGGTAAACAGCGCCGCTTAATGAATAACATTGTGCCGCTTAATGAATAACACCTATAACTCTGGTCAAAGTGTAAAATCAAACCCCAGGTTTGAGGTGCGCTGTGGGATATAATGGAAGGAGGCTAAGGGATGATGAGCTAATGGTTCCATGTCTGTGAGCTTCTGGGCCAGGGCGTAGTAACCATTTGGGGTGGAAGAAGTGTTAGTCCAGTCTCCGCCGATCAAGGAGGTCCTGAGCGGGTGAGACGCCAATGGAGATGTATGTCTCCTTATCCGCCGACCCCCACCTGGCACCCCTTCCTTGTTTCTACTGCCTCCCTGATCAGAGCTCAGGGATCATGTTTGGTTTTCTGAATCAATCTCTTTTGCCTGCAAATCTCCTCCCCTCCAACTAACAAAACTCAAAAGTCTGCTCTATTTTGCTTTCTGTTGCCAGAAGGTGTGTTGGCATGATTCGGCAAAGCCAGGCATGGTGGCACACGCCTTTAATCCCAGCACTCAGGAGGCAGAGGCAGGCAGATCAAGGCTAGCCTCATCTACATAGTGAGGTCCAGGACAGCCAGAGCTATGTAGAGAGACCCTGTCTCAAACAAACAAACAAACATACAGCAAAGACACTTTGACTAAAAGCAACTTGGGGAGTATGGTAGTTTGAATAGGAATGGTCACCATAGACTCATGTGTTTGAATGCTTGGCCCATAGGGAGTGTCACTATTAGGAGGTGTGGCCTTGTTGGAGGAAACGTGTCACCGTGGGGACAGGCTTTGAGGCCTCCTGTATGCTCAAGCTATGCCCAGTACACAGTGACTCCTTCTGCTGGCTGTAGATCAAGATGCGGAACTCTCAACTCCTTCTCCAGCACCATGTCTGCCTGCCTGGTAACGCTCCTTGCTGTGATAATGGACTAAACATCTGAAACTGTAAGCCAGCCCCAATTATGCTGTCTCTTCACAGCAATAGAAACCCTAAGGTTGGGAGAAAAGGGATTCTTTGGTAACACTTCCTGGTCACAGCCCATCACTAAGGGAAGTCAGAATATAAACTTATGCAAGCACTTGAAGCTGGGCGATGGTGGCACACGCCTTTAATCCCAGCACTTGGAAGGCAGAGCCAGGCGGATCTCTGTGAGCTCAAGGCCAGCCTGGTCTACAGAGCGAGATCCAGGACAGGCACCAAAACTACACAGAGAAACCCTGTCTCGGAAAAAAAAAAATGGGGCTGGAGAGATGGCTCAGTGGTTAAGAGCACTGACTGCTCTTCCAGAAGACCCAGGTTCAATTCCCAGCACCCACATGGCAGCTCACAACTGTCTGTAACTCCAGTACTAAGGGATCCAACACCCTCACACAGACATACGTGTAAGCAAAACACCAATGCACATAAAATAAAAATGAACAAAATTAAAAAAAAAAAAAAGAACTTGAGGCAGAAGATGGAGGATTGCAGCATGTTGGTTAAAACTCTGACTTACTCACCAGCTCGTGCTCAGCTAGCTTTTACTATTTTAAATATTTACTTACTTACTTTATATATATGAATGTTTTGCCTGCATGTAGATATGTCCACCACATGTGTGAGGTGACTACAGAGGCCAGAAGAGGGTGTCAGAACCTCTGGACCTGGAGCTACAGAATGTTATGAGCTGCCATGTTGGAGCTTGGAGTCAAACCCAGGTCCTCTGCAAGAGGAGCCAGTGCTCTTAATCACTGTGTCATCTCTCCAGGCCCCTCAGCTCGAATTTTTTTTTTTCAACTAGCTTTTTTATACAGCCCAGGCTCACCTGTTTAGGGATGATGACACCACAGTGGCCTGGAGAATTAATATGCCCTTGATACCTCAAGAACAGTGTAGGTGTACTGCTGGTGCTGAAAGCGAATTGCTTCTGGTGGTCCTTATGGACAAGCACTGGGAAAAAGCTACCAGAAGACTCGTTAATCTGGTCAAGTAAGGAAACCACATCTGGTGCAGCAGCTGCAACTGGCATTACTGCTTAGGTTTTCGGTAGTCAGCCATCACCCTCCATAGCCCATCTGTCTCCTATACACCACCGAATAGAGTTAAAGGGTGATGTGGTGGGAACCCCCACTCCTGCACCTTTCAGGTCCTTGATGGTGGTACTAGTTTACATAATCCTTCTAAAGATCTCTTTGCATCACTGTTTTCCAGTGTCCCTTGAACACCAGCATCTTCCACACTTAGGTCCGACCTGAGAGAAGGAGCATCAATGAAGCTCATCGGATGCGCTGGCACTCCTCTGCCACTGTGCATCTTCCAGCACTAGTCAAGGACATGGGTTCTGGGCTCTTCTGCTGTGGAGGATTAGGTGTTGCAGTGGATCTACGCTAGCATTCCAATTTCCCTAAGCCTCCAAATCCTTTCACCAGCACTAAGCCAAAGGATCAGGCATCTCCAGCTCGTGCTCAGTAGGCCATTTTTTGATAAATACTCAGGCAACATATTAAATGAACTCCCTGCCCCCCCCCTTTTTTGAGACAGTCTATGTAGTCCAGTGGTTCTCAACCTGTGGGTCGGGATCCCTTTGGAGGTCGCTTATCAGATATCCTGCATGTCTGATATTTACATTACGGTTCATAACAGTAGTAAAATTACGCTTATGTTGAAAGACCCTAACCCTTCAGGCTTACACCCCCCTAAGCCCCAGGAGAATAAGGAACTAAAAAGAAAACTACTTCCAAGGGCAACCCGACTCAGCCATTATTCAACCACCCCTGCCACAATGTAATAATGTAAAGAGATTTCTGTTAAGAGATGTGCTCAACTGTGACTGGGATAGTTGCAGGTGTTCCAGGAAGGACCACTGTGACCTTTGTGTAAACTCCACTCCCGCCCTGATCCCCCCCCCCCCCACCGCTTGAGATTTCAGGAAGAATGTACATGCGGACCTGACTGTACCCACTCTGTGATCAGACCATGATCTTGTGAAACAAAATTGTATGGGAATTGTAATATTATGGCTTTTGTGGGATTTTCCTTTAAAAGTACCTATGTGACTGTAGTGCGATGCGACTCTTGCTCTTTGGAGCAGAAGAGCCCAACTGTACAGCCGCATTAATAAATACCTCTTGCTGTTGCATCAACTGGATCAGAGTCTGGGTTCTTGGGGCGCCCCCTCGAGAAGGTAGTACCCTGGGTCTGGGGTCTATCAATGTAGTAGCAATGAAAATGATTTTGTTGTGGTTGGGGGTCACCACAACACGAGGAGTTGTATTAAAGGGTCACAGCATTGGGAAGGTTGGGAACCACTGATGTAGTTCTATCTATCCTGAAATTCAGAGATCCACCTGCCTCTGCCTCCAGAGTGCCGGGACTAGAGATGTGAGCTCCCATGCTCAGCACTTTCTTTAATCATGTGACGGTCCATTTTAAACCTAGAATCTCTGCTCAATGAGCTCATATCCACAAACTCGGGCTGACCCAGGTTTTTGTTCCTTCTGTCATTACTCCACACCCTTAGAGTCCGTCCTCACACAGTTAGCTAGACTTCTGTTTGCACGGATTAACAAAGTCATTCCGTTCTTTAATGGTTGGTGTAGCACACCTCTTTATGGACCACACTTGGTTTCACCTCTAGGAGCCTGTTAGCCGTGAGTTACACCTGTAGAGAAAATGATTCACGGGAACGAAGCAGCACTGTCTTGCCCAGCATCTCCTACAGGGAAGGTCATTGCTTGGTCTACAGACATGGCAGGGGTAATTCTCCTAGGCCAGGGTGAAGAGGGCAGTACTGCAGAAGTAGAAGGAGGGAAACATCCTCTAATGGGGGGGAGGCTACTTCCTCAGATGAAGGAATCTGAAGAGTCAATGCCCTCAACCTCCTTAGGGTTCTCCCACACATCTCCACCCTGGGCCACAAGGTCTGTTTCTTTCTAACCAATACCTGCACTTCACTTAAACTGCTGATATCCTTCAGGGCTGGGCCTTGAGGTTTTGGTATATGTCAGCCAACCTTTCGATGAAGGCTTGGTTTTGATCTTCGGCAACTTGAAATTTATGGCTGCTGGAGAGATTTCTTCCAGGACACACCTAACAAACGTCAGCCCGTTTGTGCGCATCTGGAGCTGGTTAATTTTATCACTAAGTTCATTCTTATCTTTTGTGACTTTATCCAGAGATTCTGGAAGTCACCCAGCCAGCATCATTATTTTCTGTATTTTTCCACAAATGGCCAAAGATTTTATGTACAGAGTCACTAAACTACTTGTTCCTCACAGGAAATGAATCAGGATAATTTTTAGATTGGCTTACAGGATGTGGTCCAGGTAATCCAACAGTGACTACCTTGTGCTAGAGAGGCCAGGAATCCAGGAGTTGCTCAGTCTACTAGCTGGGTGTCTCAGCAGTCCCGAATTGTCCCTAACAGTCTGGAGGACTCCTGGAGAGCCACTGGTCTTTAGTCTATGGTGGAAGCTCAAGGAAGCTGGTTCTGGTATCAGTGGAGGATGAACATGTAAGCAAGAGTGAGGGTAGCAGGCAAAAAGCAAGTGTCCTTTTATCTGGGCTGCCACCCACAGTTAGGGTGAGTCTTCCTGACTCGATAATCTAATCAAGAGAGTCTCTCAGCCTAGTATGCTGACACACACCTTCAATCCCAGCACTTTGGAGAAAGAGGCAGGCAGGTCACTGTGAGATGGAGGACAGCCTGGTCTACATGGTGAGTTCTTTGCTAACCAGAGCTACATAATGAGAACCTGTCTCCGCAAACCAACAAGCAAACAAAACCAGCCAAAACCAAACTAAAACCCTCACAGCAGTACGCAGCAGCTTTCAGAATTATCTGATTCCAAGTTCAGTCAAGTTTACAACTAAGATTCCCAATTACAAGGCCCAACAGAAGGCCCAGCTGCTGGGGCTGGGGAGACGGCTCAGTTGGTAAAGAAGTGTGAAGACCACCGTACTTGATCTCCAGCACGCCCATACAAGCCAATCGTGGTGGCTGCACTCGTAATCCCAGTGCTGGGGAGGCAGAGACAGGATGGTCTGGGTTAGTTGGTGAGCTCCTGAAGGTGACACTTGATGTTATCCTATGGTCTCCATATACAACCCCCCAACTCACACACGTGAGCACACACACACTCGTTAGTGCAAGTACACATGAGTACGCATACATACACACATCAGCACAAACATGTGAGCACACACATACACACATGTCAGTAAATACATGTGAGCGCACACACACAAGCACACACACAGGAGCACACACACACACCAGTAAACACACATGCCTTCATTTTTAAAGAGGAGGAAGAGGAAATGCCTCCCAGTTGCACTTTAAGACAAAATCGATGTTTTTGTCCTCTGACGCCCTAGGCTTTCTGCCACAGGGATGGAACAAGTGTACAGTGCCAGGTACCTTCCCTTAGAGTTGGGAAGCCTGCCCTCTCATCATCCCTTCCCACATACTTATGGCAATGTTAAACCTAACACCCTTTGATATGAATAATTCACACCCCTCAGGCAGGTGGCAGGAGTAATAACGTCTATAAAGTCTTTCTGGGCCGGGGAGATGGTTCAGGAGTAAAGAGCATGCCATAAAAGCTTAGAGACCAGAGTTCAGATCCCCAGCACCCACATAAATATCAGACAGGAGTGGCAGCCTGTCTGTAATCCCAGAGACAACAGGGATCCCCGGGTAAGGTTGGCAGAATTGGGAGGCAGTTGGTTCAAGCGACAGACTCCGCCTCAATGATTGAGACAGTCCTCAGACCTCTACATGAGTGTGATTATATATAATCTTACACATGTGTGGACATACAGACGTATACAAGTGACACACACAAGCCTTGCTCATTTTAAGGACTTGAAGACACAGACGTTCCTTGACTTAGGGTAGGGTTGCAGCCAGCAAATCCATTGTAAACTGACAATACTGTAAGTTTAAAATGCCCGGGGAAAGTCCCTAATTCAAAATTTGAAGTAGGTTTTCTACCGAATGCTAGTGTTTTTGTACCACCTTTAGCTGAAAGATCCTACATCAAGCCATCATTAAGCTGGGGCTCGCCTGCACAGCCTGGGTGAAAATTACACCCTTGCTATGTATGCAGAAGGAAAGCATTTCCAGGGACAACTCCTTCTCCCCTTTTCTGCCACGTGACTTCCCTGATCCAGGGTTTCCCTGGGGCATAAGGCCACTGAGGGAGGCAGCCAGCACACCCCACCAGCACTCTGTACGTGCGCATCCCAAATCCCCGGTGTCAAATGTGAAGGGATTAGAAGAGGAGGCCAGTTTACACTGCGGCAATCATGACCTCAGATACATGTCGTGATAACGACCTACAGAGACAGTCACTGCTTCCACTTTGTGCATCATAAAGCAAGGCTCAGACAGGTTAAGGGACTTCCTCCTGGACCCAGAGTGGCTTTGATCTAATCTCTGCATCCAGCTGATCTCCTGGGTGATGAGGCAGCAGCTCTGTGTGTGGGTGTTACAGATGACAACCTGGCCAGCGTCAGGTTCTAATTCCTGTCTGTTTCCTTCCTGGGAAGTGGGACTCTCCTCCATCCTAGGTTAGCTCAGTCGCAGGACCTCGCTCCTTCCTGCTCTCTTAGGCTTGGGGACTCTAGGCTTTTTCCTTGGCCAGCCCCTACTTCTACGGCCCAAGGTGAGGGGAGAAAAGAGAGACCACCAGTCTCAAATAAACATTTAAAGCTGGTGGCAGATCTGGAGATGCAGGCCAGTTGGTAGAGTGCTTACCTAGCACACACGGAGCCCTGGATTCAATCCCCAGAGCCACACAAACGGTCTTGCCATCCCAATGTAGCACGAATCTTAAAAGGTCTTATTAATAAAAACAAACCTGGAGCCAGGTATTGGGGTAAGATCAGAGAAACAGAACAAGCCATAGCCACCTCACCTCACCAATTCCTCAGCTGATCCTGTTTCCTCAAACTGGAAGTTTCTGTGTCCTCATCCGAATGGATCTCAGCTGAACTGCTGCTCAAAAGCCTAAAAGCTTAACAAAGGCTCTAGTTCCTGGTTTTCACAGCCTCATATACCTTTCTGCTTCCTGCCATCACTTCCTGGGATTAAAGGCTCTTGTTACCAGGCCTGGCTGTTTCCAGTGTGGCTTTGAACTCACAGAGATCCAGGTGGATCTCTGCCTCTGGAAAGCTAGGATTAAAGGCGTGGGTGCCACCATTTTCTGGCCTCTGTATCTAGTGGCTGTTCTGTTCTCTGACCCCAGATACGTTTATTAGGGTGCACAATATATTGGGGAACACAATATCACCACATCCCAATACAGGAGGTAGAGGCGGGAGGAGTTTGAAGTCACCCTCGGTTACAAAAGGTTCAGACCAGCTTGGGCTACAGGAGGCTCTGCTCCGAACAAAACAGAACAGTTAATGACAGTCAAACACATTTTAAGTGGCACACTTCTGTTTTCTCTGCGGGCATGTCTCTTATCTGATGGATTCTTACAAACATTTTGCTGTTACATTTCTTGTAATACTACCTGGAATTGTTATTTAGACATCATAAAAATCATTATGGTTTTTTAAAAGAAGGCAGTTTTGTTCCTACCAATGAGAAAGCAAGGCTCCTGCACATAAACCACCCCCCCCCCACACTCACACACACACACGCACACACACACACACTCGTGCACATAGGTTTGGTCTGATACAAAACAGAATTTTCTCCCCACATCACTTTGCAAAATAAAAGCAGATGAATAATTGATAGAGCTTTTACAAACATCTAGCTTTTCAAATCCTTCTAGAAAAATCCAGTTCGATTACTTGCAGCCAGCATTTCTGTGATAAACCAATGCAGAAATGGTTACCAATTAAGTAAAATTTATAATTCCCAACAGGCCCACA